AAAATGGGAGTTCATAACCCACTTGAATCAAAGTGTGAAATATGATATATCAAGAACTATGTAATGTTTTGAACAACCAACAATAAAAAAAAAAAAAAAAAACCATGATCTACAGATCAGACACTGAGACTCTTCCAATGCACATGTTGCTATTTTGGGAATGACAAGTTTCTGAGTATTTCTTTCACCTTTCTCATGCCATTATTTTGGATGGATGGAGACCAGAATTGTATCTTACAGGTGGTGCCAGGCTTGGTGGCGCACATCTGTAATCCAAGCAACTCAGGAGGCTGAGGTGGGAGGATGGCAAGTTTGAGGCCCACCTGGGTAAATTGGCAAAACCTTGTCTCAAAATAAAAATAAAAGGGCTGGGGACGTGGCTCAGAGGTAGAGTGCCCTGGGTTCAAACTTCAGTACCGAAATATAGGAGAGAAATAAAAAACAAAGTGCTCCCTAATGTATGTCCTCCAGCTCTCTCCACTTCCATCTTCCTGCTCAGAAATTCCAGTTTCCATGAGCACACTGTTTTTATATTATTATCATTATTTATTTATTTATTTGTGTGGTGTTTATTAGAGATGGAACCCAGGTCCTTGCATATGCTAGGCAAGTGCTCTGCCACTGAGCTATACCCCCAGCCTCATTATTCCTTAGTTACATTGCTGCTTCATGTTGCTTCCCAAGTTGAGAATTTGGGGGCTCTCATTTCCTGTTTCTCATTTCAGTATTTTAAGTGGGAACCAGAGTACCCTTTTGCACCTGGTAGGTAGATGTGCAGAAAAACAAAAAAGACCCACCAATTTCTTCTGGCCCTTCTGTTCCCTTAACTAGTAAAGAAATGAATGGTGTACTCTCTCCTTTCTACAAGGTAGGGGGAAGTGTACATCCCATGAAAGTCAGCAATAGGGCATTTGCCTTATTATCCTGTTATTTCCCAGGAGCAAATACATGACTTTCCATCCTGAGGTTGTAGAGGTATAGGCAATCTGCCCTGGAAATATGTCACTCGATGTGCCACTTGCTGTGAAGTCAACAAGAAAAAGGAAAATGTATAAAGGAGAGCCCTCATCTTTCTGAAAAATATTTTAAAACCACAATTTTGCAAAGTACTAGAGTGGGGACTTGGACTGCAGGCTTCCGGAATGTCTTACAGGCCATGCCAGGAGGAAAATGAGTGGTGGCAGGTAGGCTCCATCCAGCAGGTGGCCCACAGCAGAGCCATATTTCTTGAATTGCAGGTCATGCCTCATTAGTGGGCTGTGACATGAATTTAGTAGGTCATGACCAGAAAAGTCCTTTTTTTTAAGTGAAATAAATTATGCGAAAGCAGAATAAACTAGAAAATATTGGAGTACATGTAGATCACGTATTATCTAACAAAATTGTCATTTAGGGGTGTGTCTAAGGTGTAAGTGTGTGTAAGAGAGTTTAGTACACCATGTTCCAGTGTAAAATATATTTCCCACTGCAGGACACAGAAAATGTGGAAGTGACAACATTGGAGATGACTTGTGATGCTGGCATCACAAGACTGACAAAGTAAATTTACAAATGAAAAGAAATTCTTCCTATGGGAATATTCATCTCACAACTCTGCTAAATTACTCTGGATTCTACTTTTTGTTCTTGACAAAATAGTTAAATGGAAATATTCCTGTTCAATATAAGCCAAGGCAATGGTAAAGTGGGTTCGAGATGGTGTCTCTATCCTGTTGACAGTTCCACCCCGCGTAAATGCCTCCTGATATTTGTAGGGTTTTTTTTCCTTTGCTTTTTTCCCCTGCTCAGACAGTATTCTCTCCCTTTCACTCTTCCAACAACAAAAGGCAGTTACAGCAAAGCCACACCAAGAGCCAGCTTCACACTTAGGAGAGGATGGTTCATTTCCTCCTCATGGTTTCCAATACTCAGCCAGATCAGAGAAACTTTGCTAGTAACAAACTATAGAAATGATCCCTGAAAATTATAGTCTTCTTTTTCAACACATGTTCCCATGAAACACTGATAACTGCATCGAACACCTGTATAAGGACAGGCAATAAGCCATACATGATGTAATCCCAAGCACTTAGGAGGCTGAGGCAAGAGGATCACAAGTTTGAGGCCAGCCTCAGCAAGTTAGTGAGGCCCTAAGCAACTTGGTCAGACCCTATCTCAAAATAAAAATAAAAAGTCGTGTATTGCGTGTATGTACGTATATGTAACGACAAATGCCAATAGCATGTACAACTATGAAGCACCAATATAAACATGGGGGGGGGATAAAAAATAAAAAGGTTTGGGGATGTAACTCAGTGATAAAGCACCCTGAGGTTCAATAACCCAGTACCGGAAAAACAAAACAAACAAACAAAAAACAACTGATAATCAGCTGCAGAGTGTAGCTCAGTGGTAGAGTGCTTGCCTAGGACACATCAAGCCCTGGGTTCAATCCCCAGCACCATTTTAAAAATAAAGGAAAAATGACTGACAGTTCTTTAAGAGCCTCTGCTCCCATAGGCATTTATGTTTTAGCCAAATATTTAATCTCATGCCATATAAAAGAATTTCATAGAATTCAGCTGCAGAAGGAGGAAAATTAGAGAAAAGGAATATATCCTCAGCTTTCTTGAAGTCCTATCTGTGGCTAGCTAGCTATGTTCACTATGTAAATCTCTTTTTTCACATGCAAATAATTTTTATTTATTTCCTCATTGATTTGTGAAATGTTATCTTTACTGTCTTTGTTTTAAAAACAAAATAACTATGGAAATATTGCAACTCTAAGAGGAAATATTTTATTCTATCAAACTTTGTATTAATCTTATACTCCTTTAAACATTTTCCTTTTCCTTGTTGACTTAATCTTATACCCAACTTAGTGCTTATCAAATTTTAGTCCTTAATTTTTATATATATATATATATATATATAAATTTTTATTTATTTATTTTGTGGTTGTAGATGGACAGAATGCCTTTATTTTATTTGTTTATTTTTATGTAATGATAAGGATCAAATCCAGTACCTCATACTAGGCAAGCACTCTGCCACTGGGCTACAGTCCCGGCCCTCCTTAATTTATATTGATTAATGACTGTTAATTATGATACAATTATATGATGCTGTAATACTTGGCAATATTATTTCCCACTGTCATACTAAGACACTACACTGCTTGTTTTCTTGCCTGAATAAGCCCGTATTACACAAAGAACTTGACTTTTCATGCAACAATTAACTTTTAAAATGTACCACTTTACTGAGTAGGTAGTATATGCCAAACTCCCAGGATTAGGGTACTTTACCTATAAATTCTCATTTTTTCCTTGCAAACCCTCCTCCAAGTAACATCTATTATTTTCTACTATTCCATAGACGCCATGTTCACAACTTTACAGATGAGAACACTAAGGCTCAGAGATGGACGATGCCCATGAAGACATGGTTATTAATTCAGATCAAGTCTATCTGATTGCAAAGGCTGTGCTTTCATGGTTTTTATGTCACCTAATCTTTCAGATGTATTTGGAATTATTTTCATCACCTCACCTGCTCTTCTAAGGACATGGTGGTGAATGTCTGAACACCAGGAAAGCTGTTTTTATTGTTGTTGTTGTTGTTTTTTTTAATGAAGACCGCTCTGCTGATGTAGAACAGCTGAAAACACTACATACTCAGAAATATCTGGCCCGATGGTGAGAACTCGATGCTTTCTGCTTGCCCTCAGTAGCCTGGTATCTCAGCTGTCTTTCAGTCTAGCAATTAAGGATGTGAAAATATCCAGCATCTTTTAACAGCATGCTAGAGATATTTTATTAGATCCATTCAGATAACTTTTTTGTTTCCATGTGCAAACGACGGTACTTTAAGACTTCTATGAAAAACATTATTTTCCATTTGCAAATAATTTCCACATCCCGTAGTCCTTCTGTCTGCACAGACCATTTTTAACAGTAACTCTTCAAATAAAAAAAATCATCTTTTTCTCTCTACTCTCAGAGATTTTTAAATTTCCAATGCCTCAGGTAATCAGAAGCCACAGGTATTTAGCAGCCACATCTCTCACGACAGCAAAAGGAAGACGTTGATTTCATAATAGAATATACTGAAAAATCAAATCCAGGGTTCTCTTTAAAATCAGAAATGAAACCCCTAGCCACCAGATTCAGACTCCAAACTTCTAAGTGACTTTACCACATTAATTCGGTCTTTAGTTTCAGGAAATAAAATAATCATGTAGTTAAACATAGATCCTTATGCAAACAAGTACTATGTTTACAATGTACCAATCCATTAAAATCAGCAGCAGACATACATTCTGAGAACTAAAACCTGGGACACATAGGCTAGCAATCATCATTAGCTCATTCCCCATCCAATGGCAGTAAACATCCTATTGGAATCTGCTCCGAAAACAAAGGCTTTACTAACCTAATGTCAAGGTAAACAGGTAGTAAATACCTACTTGGTAGTATAACCAGTGGTATCACATTTGCATTCTTTAGGTTCTAAACACAACTAAATGTTGGCATTTTTTCCTTTGAAAGCTACTTTCAAGATAACACCATTATAATATAGTTCATAATGGGGTAACTTAAAAAAAACAGTATACTAGGCACCACTTGACATTAACATCTTTAGCCAACATTAAAATTTTTTAGCCACAAACTATCTGAGATAGAGGGAATAAACATATTATGGTATACAGAAAAAAACTAAGTTTCCTATATTTTATGTTAAAAGTCATTCACCCCAATTAAGAGCTACACAGAATAATTACAATTGTGTACCACTGTGCCCAGCTTATTGTCAGTCTTTATACCATTATTCAATGCAATAAATAGTCCTAAAGTTAAGCTACAATAAATAGTCCTAAAACACAGTTATAAAATATAACTACTTCAAATCACCCAAAGAAGAAAAGGAAAAAGTACTTTCAGCCCCAAGAATATATTCATTGGGAATAGAGTTAGGTCTCCCTTGGAAGGGATATTGAGTTGTGAGAGCAGAGGGCATACCTTAAGTTCTCTGAAGAAGATACTACTCCTGGCCCACTCAACAATGGAGAAGAGGGTTTGATCCGCCATTTTGCACATCAGCCCAAATGTGCTCAGCTTTTCGTGCTTGCTTCGGTTAGCCTGCTCTTGCTGCAAATAGGTCATGATTTTGGCTTGAACTTGAGGCTCATCAGGCTCACACTTCAAAAGTTCCAGTATCAGGTGTGGAATGCTTGCCGGGGAGCTTGTCTGGTAACTATCCATATAGGAATAGCCCATTATTGACTCAGGTGAGCTGGTGTAGGGATCTGGGTACTCAGACTTGATGGCCCGGCTAGGAAAGTGGCCATATGCTTGGTAACCTTGCAGGCTGCCATGAGGTGGCATTGTCATGCTAATGGGGGATGTTACAAAGGGACTTCTGTCATAGTCTGTAGGAGGCAAGGCAGCATGGTTCAGAGGTAGGCCTTTGGAGGCAGAATGGATGTTCTGAATGGCAGAAGAGATGGTCAGGTCAGAGGGCATCGCTTGGATCACCTGAGACATGGCTTCCAGTTTAAGTCCATTGGCTCGGATGAGGGCTTTTTTCTGTTGCTTCAGGGCCCTATCTCTCTTGTACATTGGTCCAAACTTATTCCTTCCTCCACGCATTCGATCAGCCCTTACCGCTGTTGGGGGAGCAAAAAAAAAAAAAAAGGTGGGGGAGCGTGTATATAAGATGAAAATTATTAGCATTCTCCAGGATATCTACACTTAGAAATGTTGAAAATGAACCATAAATGTTTTGTGTGGCTGTTTTCATTATAATAGCTCACAAGAATTCCAAGGAAAAACAAAAACAAAAACACCATGTCCTCTTTATTTATGAATTGCTTACTCTTTTTTAATATTTATTTTTTAATTATAGGTGGATACAATATCTTTATTTTCATGTGGTGCTAAGGATCGAACCCAGTGCCTCACACATGCTAGGCGAGTGTTCTACCTTTGAGCCACAACCCCAGCCCTCTAAGTGTCATTTATCATTGAAAAAAACCCTGATAAATGCATTGAATAATGGTATAAAGACTGACAATAAGCTGGGCACAGTGATACAAAATTGTAATCCCGCTGATTTAGGAGGCTAAGGCAGGAGGATTACAAATTCGAAACCAGTCTCAGCAAACTCAGTGAGACCCGGTCTCTAAACAAAATACAAAAAGGGTTGGGGATGTGGCTCAGTGGTTAAGCACCCCAGGTTTCAATTCCAAGTAATAAAAAATAGAATAAAATAAGATTAAAAAGGGCTGGGGTTATAGCTCAGTGATAAAGCGCTCCAGGATTCAATGCTCAGTAAATTAAAAATCTTGGATACATAGACATAGTAACCCTTTTGAGAACTGAAGAAATTTTAATAATTGTTTTTTTGCTACACATAGGGATTATTTCATATTTCTAAGAGCATCAATCTTTCTACTGGAAGCATTAATTTCTATTATGCCAGTGATTCTCTATGGAAACCCAAATTCCTTTTTGTTTTGTTTTCTCAGAGAAAAATAAATCAAACACCCCATTTCTGGATTAAATTGTGAATATTTTGCCTTAGGATATCTTCCTCCTTCTCAGTCATTTTGGCTATTTTGTTGTAAAAGGATTGAGTACATGCTTTTCTTGGGAAATTTATTTTTACCTCAACTTGATAAGTGCACATCAGTAACCACCAGTTATTGCTTTTAATTTAAGCAGAGTTGGACATAATTAAAGCAAATTCCTTTCAAAAGTGGTCCAGAGGCTGTTCTGTCACAATGGTGTGTGGAGTCTGGGGCCATGCCTAATAAGTTAGTTAGCAGCTCTCTCCAAGCCCATAGTGGCCAATGGCAATTAGATAGAAACCAGAGACCTCTGACAGCTTGTGACACACTGAAATTGCTGGAGGTTAAGTTTTTGAGCTTTTTATCTTAGGATTAGTATCACATTAAAAATTTATTGTGAATTCTAGGTATCCAGAATACTGCAGAAGATCATAAAAGAGTTTTTCATCTGGATGATAATTTATTGAATATTCAATTGTTTCAGACCACTGTTAAGGGAAGTATGAGCATGTACCCCACATGACTTACTACAATTAAGAAAGCATAATTTTCAAGGTAAAGAAATACAACCTTCTTTCTTTTGTTGGAAAAAAAAAATCATATGAAATCACAGCATTGACTTTTTAACATTTTTTTCTTCTCAGTCACACACCATGATAACCACTTTCCATAATATTCTGTTATTTGGTTAAATAATAAAGTGATTGGTGATAAGAAAATTAATGAGCATCAATTACTTCCTTTCTCCATTTCTTCTTTAAAGCAGTACTGACTTAACAGTTCTTATAACAACCAAAGTGACTAATTCTATTTGAAGGAATCTGTTAGCAATTTGGCACATTTCTTAGAATGACTGTTATTAGTTTTTTAGTACTTCTATCAAGTATGAGTTCCACGTAAGGAGAAAGCTCCAAATAAATATAGCTCATGCCTCATTGATCAAATAAAATGCACTCTTGTATCTAGCACCATTAGTGACATTGTTATTATTTTATTTGCAGTATATTTAATCTGTGGAAAGCCAGTGGGTCAAAGGCTGGAGAATAGCAGCACACCATAGCAGTCCATGAACTACAAATTATTTACAGCAGTCACATATTAACTTCACTGCCTGCCAATCTGAACATGGAACGGTTTTGCTCTTTCAACAAGGTTTAGTGTGGCTTTGGGGGAATGGTTGTCTTGTTCTTGTCAAACCATTGTAACTGATTTAATCACTCATTCTTTTTCATGTTTTTGCTTCTCAATTATTTTATTTTGCAGATTCAGTCAATGTAAAAATGTGCATTTCTACACTATAAAAAATAAAACTCTAGCCGGACGCTGTGGCGCAGGCCTTCCAGCAGCTTGGAAGGCCAAGGCTGGCCTCAGCAACTTAGTGAGACCCTGTCTCAAAATAAAAAATAAAAAGGGCTGGGATGTGGCTCAGTGGTTAAGTGCCCCTGGGTTCAATCTGTGGTTAAAAAAAAAAAAAAATGAAATTCTACCTGAGAAATTCCTTTTCACAATTCAAGGCTCAAGAATCATGAAATTAACAGGGACAATTGTGATAAGCACACCTATTTAAAAAAAAACAAAACAAAAAAAAAACGATTTAAATCAAAACTTTTCCCAGGACATCCTGATTTGAAAACTTAAAGGATATTTTGGCAAATTAATTTTATTTGTTCTCAGATGGATCCTTTTAGTCTTGTTATCAATTAACCTGACTTTTGATCTGTTCCCCAAACTAAAAGGAAGGGACAACTTTGATATTTAAATTCTTTTCCTTTTAGATGTCACCATGTTTAAATGAGACACACTATTCTGCAGACAAAACATAAAAAGATCTTACTTTATGGCTGTAGTGTTAAAGGACTGGGAAAATACTGTTACCATAGCATAAGTACAATGCTGTTTTAAAGTCCATGTCCTTGGAGACTTTAAACAGGCAGTAGTCTTTAGAAGAATCTTACCTTCTAGCTTCATTCCAACACTTAGACATTTTTGAAATCGACAGTAAGGACAACGTTTTCTCTGTGTTTTGTCAATTTGGCAGTTCTGGTTTTCTATACATGTGTACCTTTTATTATTTTGGACTGTTCGCTTAAAAAATCCCTATAAGACAGAGAAAATAGTGAGACGTATTATAAATCTAATACCCGTCTCTTCCATTGTTTCATTTTAAGGAAATCACCATTAAATCTTTTCATTGTACCACTTGAGCCCTTATGTGGTTCTGTGGTTTATTTTACATTTCAGCAAGATCAACCCTCCAAAATAGTGCCAGGCCATAGTGATTTATCTGGCCTCAGAGTTATATTCCTGAAGAATTACATCAAATCTGGGGGAGATTTGGCTTCCACATCATTTCATCCCAACAGTCAGAAAAAAATACACTCTATATCAACCAGTGATTTTTTTTTTTTTTAAACCTGTTTTCCCTATTAACCCTGATACTCCAGACAGAGGTCCTCATGGAGATTTGCATTGTTTTTCAAGTAGTCTGATACAATTTCAGTGACAAACCATTGCAAAATGCCAGAGGAAAAACTGACTAGCAAAACACCTCAGATCTCTTACAAATGTCAACAGTGAATAGTTAAAAGCAAAAGGATTTAAAGAGATTTAAAATGGGAAAATGGTCATAATTTCCCTGGAATACATTCAAGCATGAGCGCTATTTAAGAAAAAGATGAAACTCATGGAAAGAAGCATGTCACAGCACTAAATTGGAGAAAGCAGCTCATGTTTTCCTTATATTTCACTCAAAAAATTAATCAAGAATAAAATTTGTAGCTTTACAATAGAACAACGGCTTTTATTAAAATAGAACTCTTGTTTTTCTTACTAGCTATAAAGAGAAACAAGCATACCTTGTTAGTGAATGAAGGAATTTTCCTGGCAATGGTTTAAGTAATTGTACTGTTTTCAAATCAAAAAAATGTCGAAAAAATAAGGAATACTGAATTTATTAGAATTGTATTAGAAAGTCTAACATAAATTCTTAATGTATTATTGACATGATTAGTAACAAGAGTAAGTTTTGCATATTCAAATTCCTTGCATTTAAATAGGTCACATGATACATTAATGAAATTATTAGAAACTAAAATCTGGTTTCTTGCTGTTTAAAGTATAAGTTTAAAAAAACATATTAAAATAATTTTTTGAAATAAACCAGGATGAAATCATGCAGTGGGAATTTAGACTTTTATAGCTGTGGATAAAAAATGCTCAGACTTGTAGCACAGAATACTCTGAAGTTAAAATGTATTTGGGAAATACTTTGTCATGTTCCCTTTCAAGAACAGGGATGCTTTAAATATATATAAGTCAAGCAAAATCAATATTTAGGACTGTTAGAAATGGAAACCTTTCTACAGCTACATCACTTTATTCCAATAAAATATTTTAAGGCCATGAGACTGGAAAAGTTTTCTAAACAGCATAAATTTCTTTGCCTTTTTGAACTAAATCAGACACATATTTCTAAGAATCATCTCCGTAAGACTTAACTCTCTCATTTTTGAGTAAAAAAAAAGCAGTCTGAATTTAGCTTTAAAAAGTAATTCAATGGTTTATTTTGGTTTTGAACATTATATTTTTTTTAGATAGCAACTTATGAGCAAACCTTGCAACTCTCACAGGTGAGAAGCCCGTAATGGTACCCAGACACTTTATCTCCACACACAGGACAAAGCTCTTCGAGATCTTCATCATAGGAGTAATTCACCATTTTAAACTGAGACACTGAAACACAAGAAGAGAAATGTACACACATATCCAATTAATTTATTGCATAGGTTTTAATCCTGCAAGGAGAAGCACTTTTGGTGATTGGTGGGCAATCACCAGGTAAAATATAAAATAAAAATAATTTTTACCCAGGTAGTACTGAAAAAATAATTTTGCACACTTCAAGTAAAAAATCTTTGAGCATCAATGAAGATGCACTTCATATTTTAAAGTTTAAAAGTAATTCCAACTTATTTTGTTAACATTCTAAAGTGACCATTGTTGAACAAGTCTCATAACTTCTGCTAAGCAACAGATCAGAATGGAAACATGAATCGCATAAAGTAACCACCTAGAACTTCTTTTAAATCTCGGCAAAGTTAAGTTCCAAAATGTCACCTGTACCCAAGAGAGAGAAACAACACAACACACATTACTCCCCAACTCTTAAAGTAGTTTCCTGAAGGTCTACCTTGCTTGTAAGGATAGTAACACCAATTTACAAACGTTGTTTCACAGAGGAAACTGAAACCCTAGAAACCTTCTCGGGAGCAGCCCCACTTTTACAAACAGCCGGCGGCTCCCAATGTTCAGATCTGTTAGATAAATCGAAACATTCAGTTCTGTATTGACTTCAGTTCTGAATATTTCCATCTCCTTACGTTTGAAAATATCCTGTGAATATAAAAAGAAGGAAAAAGAAAAGAGAGGACACCAGACGGGAGAAAAATCAGAAGAAACACACAAAGGTTTGTTTCCTCGCAAAGTACCTGTGCCCTGTAATGAACTTCACGTTTCTGATCATCATCAAAATACAAACACCTCAAGATCTCCCTGTTAATCAGAAATCAGGCGTCGCGACAGCTCAATGCCGGGATCGGCTGATCGCCTTGCTGGGGACGGCTAACCAGCCAAGGCATCTATGCACCAAAAAAAATAAACTATGCGCATAAAGGACAGTGGCTTGGAGACCCCAAGAAGTACCTGATCCTGTCCCTCCCTGAGACTCCGCATTTGCGCGGGTCAAGTCCCAGAGTGCTGGTGGGCGGGCACCTAGGGCGAGGGACAGGTCTGCACAGAACTGCCACCGCGCGCACTTTCCAGGGGCACCCTCTCTCTCACCCCTTGCTCAACCTTCTGCTACTCAATGGCGCACAAACATCAAGGCAAGTTTGTTTTAAGTTAATCAGTGGCATTGCGGGGGCGGAGTGGGGGGGGGTGCCCACCGCCAGGCAGAAGTTTCCTCTGATTTGTTTACAAAGCAGGAAAGAGAAATCGCGTCTGCTCCACAGCTAAAGTACCCAGCAATACAAATCACCATAGTGGCCTCCTGCGATGACTTATTCTTTTTAAAATTGTTATTTTTTTCTCTCCAGCTTTTCAGGGTCTCAAAGGGCGGTCGGGTTGGTGTTTGGGCTAGGGGTGGGGGTCACTTTGCAAGCTGAGGCCCGAACGCAGACCTATAGAGATGTGTCTCTTCCAAGACAGAATCCTGAGCCGGGGGCTCAGGCTCAAAATCAAAGTTTAGGATAGTTCGGAGGAAAAAGGCTCCCCCAAAGGCAGTATTCTGGGATCCATGACAGGGAAACAGAGATGCTGAGCGCAGTTCTCGGAGCAATGCTGGTCTGAATCCTAGCCCCTAGAAAGTCCCTAGAGTTTGGTGACCTGAGGGTTTAAGTTCCTTTAAACCTAAACTTTTATGGTGCCCCAGAAAACTGGCGACTACAGTCTCAAAGCATGTTTTTGTAGGGAAGGGAAAACGAGTACTTTACCAAGTGTATTCTTTTCTAACTCCCTTCTTCCCCAACAAAGTACTCTCTTACTTCACACGTAAGGGGCTCAGAGAAGCAACCACTTTCTGAGAGACTCTGGGTTCACCGAGGGAATCCATCACCCCAAAGACTTGAGGTCTGGGGTTGGGATCCTCTGGGAAAATCCAGAGAGATTCGGGTGGGGAGACAGAAGTCATAGTGAGAGGCCGAGGCATCTTTCAGGTACCCTGGTACACAGCCCAAGTAGGCGTTGGGAAGACCGAATGCACCCGGGCCAAGAAATCCCCGCACTTTCCCGAGTCTCAGTCTGAAGAAAGGAGAGGGGACCCGCAGGGTCTTGGGAAGCTGTGGCCTCAGAGAGGCGCGCGAAGTTGGAAGAGCTGCGCAGAGAACCCGGTAGCGGATCCCCTCTCTGGACTCCAGCACAGGTCGGACTAGGATGTGACCCCGACTAGGACCGTAAGAAGCACGATCAGAGACCCTCAGGCACCGCCCGACACACAGGCCGCGAGTCCCAGGGAAAGTCGTGCCCAGAAACTTCCCACGCTGCTTTTGAACCCAGGGCTAAGCAAGCGGCGGGCCGAATCTCCTGAGCCCTGGGCACAGGACAAGCTTATTCTGATTGAAAACAGTAAGTAGTGTCATGAAGATCCCTTTCGAACTTTTACAAAGAAAATGTAACCTTGGCATCTCTCTCCTCTCCCTTCCAAATAAGCTGTCGTCCCTCCCCACTCCTAGCTCCAGCGTCTCCCGGAGCTGCCTTCCCGGAGTCCCTCCGCGCCGGAACGGGAAGCAGCAACTTTCCTTTCGGACCCAAGAATCCCCGCTGGTCTCAGCCGGTGGCCGAAAGTGCAGACCCTCTGCCAGGCGGTCGGCCGAAGGAAACCGGTACAGCTTCCAGCGCTGCTTCCCCTAAGCCACACTTTGGTGGAATCTCAGGTGTCGGGAAGAAACGCCTCTTTGGGCCAACGGGGTTCCCGCTGCAGCCAAACCCAGTTAGTCTCCGGGGCTTCAGTCCCCGGAGACTTCCACAGCCCTCACTGAAGGCTTGGAGAGACCCCGGGTTCACCCAGGGAATAAATGACCCTACCAGCACGTTGCACGCCCTCCTGCCACCTCCTTTTCCCTTTGCAATGGGGCGACGTCAGGTTTCCCTACCAGAGCGTCCGGGGCAAACTGCCTACCCCGCACCGCAGAGCAACCAGCCCTGAACTCTTCTCAACACCTCCCCGGCCCTTTCAAGTTCGCTCAAGGGGATGGCAGGAAGCGTCCCGGGATCACAGGCCGGCGGCCCACGTATCCTGCGCTCTGGAAGGGGCGAGGATGGAAGAACACCGGTGACTTTTCCTAGCATTGTTCCCTCCCCGGCCCAGAGCAAATGCTATAAACTTCTGAAGGGCTTACTTAATGCAAGCCAGATCTGAAGCTGCTATTTTGGAATGTGGAGAAAATGTAGCCATTGAGATTTTTTTTTTTCTGTTATTGTTGTTAGCAATCAAGAGCTCAAAAAACAAATGGGATTTCTATAATCTCAGCTCTTGAATGGATGAGAGGGCAATAAACAAACCATATCTCCCTACTCCCCTCAACTCGGTACTACCCTACTAGGGAAGGATGGTGTAACTTTGATTTTCTTAAGTTCTGCCAACAGTTTTGAAGTTGTCCAAACCCAAGCCGCCCCTGGGGTCAGCCTGGGCTTGGCAGGGGGTGCTCACAGACACCGCTTGCACAGCTTTTCCGCGACCGCCTTCTCTTTCTGCAGTCTTCTCCCTCCAGACGGATTATCAAAGTACACCGCAATACCGAGAATCTGCTCGAATGTCCAATAACACATTCCATTTCTCAGAACGATCTTATTATTCTAAAGTACCTTCAGCCTCGAGCTGCCCGCCGCTCGAGTTACCGTAGAGCTCGAATCCTCTTAATCAGAAGCGACCAATTAGACATCGATTGTCAAAGCTCTGCCCGCATTGTTCAAGAGCCATAAACTTTTATGTCTGCACCTGAGGAGGGATCCTGATGCCCGCGCGCCGCCCCGCAGCCTGTGGCTACAGGCTTGGAGTCCCTAGCCCCGCTGCTCCAGGGCCGGCGCCGGGCGGGAGGCTGAAGCCCACAAAGCTAGCCTGAGGGTGGAGAAGCCACCGGAGCCCTCGAGCTACGCGGCGCCTCCTTACCTTGCATGTTTTCCGGCATCTGCCCCTGTTCCCCATGCGATCGAGCCAGTCCCAGGGCTTCCGTCTCCACTTTGGGCAGCATGACAAGGCGGCCGAGGGCGGGAATGGGGAGTCGGTATCGGTCCGGAAGCCCAGCACCTGGACACGGGCAGCACAGATTCAACTCCGGCGGAAAGAGGGAAGGGGCTACCAGGATGCCCGCTCACCCACCCGCTCGCCGGAGCGTGCCTCCGCCTCCTCCCGAGCTGCCCGGCAGGACCTCGGAGCCCTGTCCTATCTCGCAGCCCCGGAGCCGCCCCGGAGCTGCGAGGAGGTCAGGTTTACGCGACGAAGAGAAGACTGCGTCCGGGTGCCCTGGCTCCGCGCGGCCAGGGAGCAGCTGCCCGGGGCAAGGATCCGCGAAGCGCCGAGCTCCCAGAGGGCAGCTAGGCGGCCGCCGGGCTGCCACTGCCGCCGCCACGGAGCCGCTGCCTCTGCTCCCGGACGGCTCGGGCGACTCCTTCCCCTCCCTCCGCCCGCCCTCTGGCTCAGGATCGGCAGGGGTCTCTCTCTCTCTTTCTCTCGCCTCACTTCTCTCCTGCCTCCTCTCGGCTCTCCTCGCCTCTCCGCCCCTTCCCCCTATCTCTTTCTGCCTCCCCCTCGCTCCCTATCACAAGTGCGGAGTTAAGTTCCAACCTCCCTCTCCTGCCTCGTGGACTTCTCTCGCGTATCGGAGAGCAGCCCCTTCCAGCCCCGAGGGTGACGGTGCTGGGAAGGAAAGGGGACAGGCGAGGAGACGGGAGGTAAGTAGGGCCCGGGTGGCGGGGGTGGGGGGTGGGAGATTGGATTGGGGTAAGGGGTGAAGACAGTGAATGGGGACGCGGGTTCCGGACTCAGGTCGGACACTAACCGCCAGCCAATGAGGATGCTCCAGTCCCTTCGCCTGCCCCAACCTCTTCACCCCGCCTTAGCCCACTCCCACTCCACCCTGGCCCGGGGCGGGGGGATGTAAATGCTGCTGGGTCTCAGAGCTAGTGAGAAGCGACCTCTGTCTGAGCGCCGGAGCGATGGATCAGAAACCCGGGAGGCGATTTCCAAGAGCTGAGGGAAAGCGAGGAGAGGGGATGGAGTGTGTGTGTGTGTGTGTGTGTGTGTGTGTGTGGTGGCGGGGGGCCGGTGTGGGTGGGTGTAGGTGCATGCCTTGGCTTGTAGGGCCGGTGAAGAGCAAAGAAGTTTAACAACCGTTTAAAATACCTAAAGAAGAAAAGGCAGGTTGAACTCACCAGACCTTCTCAAATGCAGAGTCGGTCTCCCAGCTTCATTTCCCCCACAGCACTCGGTCAGTGGAGAGGCCACACCATGGATCCCCCTAGCCCTGAAGAGCGCGAGGGCCGGGGCTTACTGAGGATTTACCCATGACCCTGGGGTTTCACTCAATTGCCGGGAATAAGAGGAAGGGGCAGCCACCCCTGTTTCCCCACTCTGCTCTCCAGTCTCTTCCCCACTTACAAAAGGTCCTCCACCCAGCCCAAGATTATCTTGGTGACAGACTTCCTAGCTTTAGTGCTTCCATATAGAATGCAAAGATCACTCCTGGCTCTCCCTTTTCATTCTAGCGTCTCTTTGCTGGGACTGATCCACATGAGGCCCAGAGGCTCAACATTTTTTTAAAAAAAGTTTTAAAGAACCATCTGTTATGCAAGCTCTTCGGCCACCAGCCCAGCCACATCTTCAAAGTTTTCAGATCTCATCCCAACAAGATGAAAAACATTCCTTCCAGCCTCCTGACTGAATTCGAAAAGCCTCATATTCAAAGTCTGCTGTGCAACTGGGTAATTATCAGAGTCCACCCACAAGGGGGTGAATTTGAATCTCAAAAGATCTGAATTTATTCTATTTAAATGGCACAAGGATCACACAAACTGCCCCGTTTAATATTGGATGAATTTAAAATTATTCCAATTATTAGTGCACAATTTATACCTTATATGAAGTGAGTTATTCATCCCCCATTCCTGGCAATTCAGATACTAATAACTTTCTGAACTGGTTTGCCACTTTGCTTTTCGATATATATTCAGAGTCTAAGTTATTTAAATTTCAGTTTTACTACTATCTTTAGGTTTCATGGAAACAAACTTAGGAAGTCTTGCCCATTAGTTTGTATGGGAAAGTGGGCTAAAGTTGCCAAAATTAGTGACCCCTAAGAAGCATAGATTTTTATGATAGTATCAAGTAACAGTGTCAATACATTTTCAGTATTACCAGTTGTTTAAGACATCACTGTGAATTAAGAATACACATTCTTACATAGTTCAGAAAGGGAGTGAGTCTCAGGACTCAAACCATTGCTTGCCCTCCTCTGTGTGGAGTTCAGGTGAACTTGGAAAATCAGTGCATTTCAAAGTCTTAAGATCAACCTCCTCCCACTGCAATTCAAAGAGCCTATGTGGGCACTTACACAACACTTTCCCAAACATAACCCTGGCAAGAATGCAGGACTGCATACTCTTGGTGGTAAATGGGAGCTTCCAGCATTGGGTGTGAGATGGAAAGTCCTCTGCTTCACAGAGCAGGAGAAGGACAAAGAGAATGGAAAGATGTTGAAAGAGGGTGGATAGGACCTGCTAGATTGCAGAAGGCAAGGAAACCCTGCCATTACTTGAGGTTGGGGCTGACCCAGTGAGGCCAAGTTTGTCCCACCATATCCCCCAAAGATTGAGAGCGATGGTGGCAAAAAGCCAACAGACATCCATTTATCTTCCCATAGCAAGACTTAACAAGAAAGAAAAATCCTCGCAAAATGGGAGGGAGGTGAGAGAGAATAGGGGTTGCAGATGAGGATTAAAAGAAATTCGACCTTTAAAAATTTAGCCGCATCACACAGGAAAGATTCAGGAGTTTTCTCCCTGTGTTTAAGATCTAGTCCAGGCAGACCCTTCTGCTTAGCTGCCTACCAAAGGAGCACCGAAAGAGCTGGACGTCTCAAGCCGAGAGAAAACTAAGAACCAAGGGAACTCCTAGCACGAAAGCCCAGCAACCCTGGGCATTGCAGGCCTCCACCTCCAGGTGGGAAAAGCTCTCTAGGGCCAGCGCTATTCCAGATCCCCCGGAGGGACGTCAAAACTCGAGGCGGGAATCTACTGGAGTTGGTTCTTGTCAGAGATCCAAGGGCGCACTCACCTTTCCCCAGATCGCTCCTCAAGGAGTTTGGGTGGGCCGCAGGGTCGCCGACCTAGGTGCAGACGCAAGGGGAGGGGCGGCGGAACCAGGCTGCCATGCCAAGCTCTTTACGCACCTCCAAGTGCACCCTTGCTCCTTCCGAACACTCATTCTGGTCCCGTGACCCTTCAATTCCGTTGGGCAGAGGACCCCAAGGAAACCGGGGACCCTCTTGCTCTGTGACCTTGTGTGGGTCCGGCGCCCCCTAGATCACTCTAAGAAGGAGAGCTGTACGGGAAGGAGCCTATTCGAGGCGTCTACAACCGGGTTCTTGGGATGGTTCTAGGTTCTCGAGGACGCAGTGGGAATGGGAGAGGCTAGCGGCAGCGGGGAGGGGAGGCAGTTAAGAGGGAAGTGGATGGTACAGGACCCGTGTGGTCTAAATGCTGATGACAGCGGTGGTCTATACGGACCCAGACATACACCAAACGCTGGCGGGCAGACAGGTCCCATCCTCCTCTAGGGACATATTTAACAAATGCCACTCTGCCGCTTAGTGGAAGCACACTTAGGGATTCACCATGGCCTCCCTCCTGTGGGTCATTTAACCTGTGCCGGAGACCAGAGACCTGAAACCTGCAGGCCTGAGATGCCTCCAGATTTAGCTACTGTGCGCGTCCTCAATTTCTTCTCTCCACTCCCTTTGCCAACTTCTGGCAAACTTCTCTTTTTTCCCTCCACCTCCCCCACTCCTCCTCCTTTCCTACGAGAGTGGTCTCCTGGGCTCATCCTTCCTGGTTCTGACTTTGTCTTAAAGTGTTGATTGACGGTTGCAATTACAAAGGATGATGGCTCAGGGAGGCTCCCGCAGCCTTGATGAGCCTGAGAAGCGCAGTCCTGGCATATTTTATCCAGGCTCGGCGTTACGGGGCCGTGCGCGCCCCATTCACCCAGCTGGCTGGAGCTGAAAAGGTCTCGCGCTCCCCACCCGCGAGGATGCAACTGCCGGCTCACCTCCCCGCCTCTACCTTTCCGCGGGTTTTCAGAGCCCACGTCTGGAATAGCCTGACCTTGACCTGACCTGAGAAGTGTCAGTCCGCCCTGCGAGCTGAACCCCTGCAGGCTGCAGTGGGATAAATTGTCTAGATTTCCTTGAGCGGTTCAAGTTTCCGGGGCATGGAAACAGACCACTTTCCCGCGCGCTTGGGTAGATGAAGACTTTCGTGATCCACTCAGCCTCATAAGAAACTTGCAAACTTTTATCCCTGCAAACAATTTCTAACGTTTCCTTCTCCGTTCCTACTTTTTTGATGTTTTTAAGAAACCAGAACAATTACCTTTCTAGTCCCAGGCATTTACTTTTCAGCCCTCGGAAGGAACCTAGATTGTTTTCAAAAGGTCTTCATTACAGGGCCATGGTAGCCCGAGGGAAAAGAGAAGCGAGCTTATCAGTCTTCATACAGAAACTCGGCCTCTGCCTAATTTTTCCGCCCCTCCTACTCAGACCAACAGAAGCCATTTTTGCCTTTCCTTAGAAATTAAATGCAGCAAGAACTCAACCGAGTTTGGTGCTGGGCTCTGGGGGCTGGGCTGTACGCCCCCGCCCCTAGGCTCCACCCGCCTTCACCCAGCGCGCTTTGTTTTAAAAAGAAACAGATTAAGTTTCAGTACAGCTGTGTGAATTACCGTAGAGTATCGAACTGGCCAAAGCTTTGCGTACTCCGCGGGAAAAAAAAAAAAATCCCTTTCTATTGCGTATGTTAAATTACCAAGACATCGTCAACAATCTCTAGTGCCGGAGGTAAAATTGCTGCCCATAGAGACAATCTACCCTTTGGGGGGGAAAAAAAATCTGCCTGTAGTGGGCAAGTGGAGATTGAGTCACAATCAGTATCTTAATATATCATGCCTCGTTTTTACTGAGGAGGCAAATGAAAGCTGAAACAATGACATGGATGACCCAAGCGTCTCCATCTCTTCCCCCAAACAACCTCCCTCCCTAGCCCCGAAGGAAAGGAGGGTTTTTTGGTTTTTTGGGGGGGAGGGTTTGGCCTGGATTATCGGAATTGGAGACTCTTTGCATAAAAAAATGACTTCAATGGAGAACTTTTACACTTTCCTTTATTTGGAGCATGAGGCCCCAATCCAGGGATCCGAGCGCGCCAGCCTCGGTACAGCCAGTGCCCTTCAAGTGGGATATCTTCGAGGGGATATCTGGTTTAGAGAAAGGATGTGGTTTAGGAAATAATCTCGGGCAGATGGGCCAATCGAATCGATCTCTTCCTCTCTCTAACTGACATGGAGGCTAAACCAGCTGTTGCTCAAAACTGAGACTCCATCCTCGGGATCACTCCCAGCCATTCCTGGAGACCAACCAGAAAGTTGAGTGACGCTGGAAGGGACAATCCAGGCGCCAGCAGGCCACCAGTACTTAGTGAAACTTGTTGAACACTTGCAATTTCACTCTCCTTGACCCTCCCCCGACCCCACCTCGACATCAATCTGGACGAGGAATTTAATCCTTAGCACTATTCTAGGCTACTACTCAACTATATCCAACCATACTGAAAGATTCTTTAGGGAAGGGGTAACTTCTCACAGTGTTTCCGAATCCCTGCAGAGAAAGGATGGATGCATCTTAGAACCGTCTTCCTTAGGAAAAGACCCTAAACTTGGGTTTTCTGATTCCTAAAATCGAAGAGCGCTGGGTCTGTGCAGAGAGATGCGCATCCAGCAATTGGGGTTTTAGTCCGCAAAGAAAATTTGGGTTTGGTAAGGCCAGATTTACAATGGTATGGTCACTTTCAGGCACCCGGAGTGAAACTAGAGAAAGTGTTAGGAGTCGGGACAGTTATAGAAGTTGCCCAGTTTGAAGGGCGTCGGCTTCTCCAACCTGAGCACAACTTTGGGAATCAAGAGATATTGGCCAGTCTGCAACAAGGCTTGGGGAGAGGAGTGGGGGATCATTCATCTTTCCCCCTCACCCCGAGTTTATTGTTTGGAAACTGAAGTTGATTCCAGGACCCAGTGGTGGATTCCAAGTGATTTTCTTGGAACACCATAGAGATCGCTGGAGGGAGTGAACTTTTCATTGGAGTGGGCGGGGACAGAGACTGGGGTATGCAGACTCCAGCTAGGAATCCAACATTTACTATTTAAAAAACAAATAAATAGCCCCAGGCTTGGGACCAGCATTCCTCACTGCAGGAGGCATAGCTGGATTTGTCCAGAGTGCTAAATATAAGGAAAGGTGACTGCATGTCTTTGTCCCTAGCCCCTCCTCCCAGGACAACAGTACGTTTCCTCTAAATGCAGTCACTGAATTTGAGGGATGTCCCTGTCCTCCTTAGATCCACTAACAAGCAGATGTTCTGAATTCCCTCAGTTCTTTCTCATCCAGTGTTGGTAGCCTTGTGAGGTGCCACACATTCTCAAATTAAGCTTCATTAAAACTTCAGAAACACTCCAGAGAAGGAGACCAGAAGTACCTTCCACCCTACTTGCTCTGGTTCTGGCCTCAACTTGCCCAGACCAGTCTCCACATTGTCCCCTCCCCCAACCCCTCCTGGTACCACTCCCCATCCCACCCTTCTGAATTCTACAGGGACTCAAATCTGATTTCCATTATGGAATAAAAAGAAGTATAAAGAGCCACCTACAGATGTCTTTCTTAAACTCTTCAAAATGTTTTTGAAGAAAGTCTGACCAACATTATTTAAAATCATAATTCCTTTACATCAAGAGCATATACATAGATACCACCTTGGGGGAAAGAACATGGATTTCAGAATCATATTTCTGGGATTCTATTTAAAGCTCTCTCTCCTGACAATCTGAGTGATCTTCAGTACGTCAAATGACCTTTCTGATTCAATTTGTTAAATAAATGGGGTTAACAAGTAAACTTTGTAGTTACATGAAACTGCCAGAAAACCAGCATACCATCTGTTGATAAATATCAGCTCTCCTTTGTCTTTCTTTCCTGCTAACTTCACCCAAATTCATCTCTCCTTAAGGAAAACAACTCAGAAGAGAACCATTCTAGGACCTTAAAAATAGATAATTCCAAGTGAGAAGGGCTTGCCAATTTGATCATCTTGTAGGGCTTGACACAGTCCTTACAGGCAATTATGTTATCTCCAGAATAAAATTGCTCACCAAACTGCTCATGGATATCTGTTTTCAGCTTGCTGGGAGTTTAAAAGTCAAATATGTCTTCTTATTTAACAGCCACACAAAAGCACACATAATGGCTTCCCAAAAGATTAAAAAAGAATCAGGCTTTATCAATTTGTCTGGTCAATTCCAGTACACATGGTTTCCTCTGACTTAATTTCTTAAACTCATATTGGTCACATGGGGCTCTAGATCACAGGTTCCTGAAGTTCCTTGAAACCAACTGAATTTCTCAAAAGATTTTTGTTCCAATAAGATGAAGAGGAAGGATAACTCAAAGAAGTAGCTCTATCATGAGGTAGGTTGTGAATCTGGGGAGTGAGGTGTCAGATGCATACCCTGACCGGGAAATGTGTTCTAGAGCCCTTCTCTGGCTCAGCTCAAGTTCAAGTCTGAATCCAAACTAACACTAGACACTGTGTCTGTTGGAAGGATCAGGAAAAGGAGAAAATCATGACCAAGAATGTTCTTGCTTTCTTCATAAATCTCTCTTGGTTTATTAAGAAACAACTTATTTTTTTTTTTTTTAGTTGTTGATTGACCTTTATTTACTTATTTATATGTGGTGCTGGGAATCGAACCCAGTGCTTCACACTTGCTAGGCAAGTGTTCTATCACTGAGCCCCAGCCCCAGCCCCAAGAGACATCTTAAAGAAATGCTTCAACTCTGGTCAGCACTTGTGGATCCAGGCCAGTGCGGAGGAATCTGAGTAGCACTGTTTTGGAGATGGGCTGTGGCAGGAAAGGAAAGGAGGCTCCAGAATTTAGCTTCCTGGAAGGAACTGGCAGCCTAAGCCCCAGTTGCAAGAATCACTGGACTTGGGTGGCTGACGTTCCAAACTGCATTGCAAGTAAAGTTGGTTAGAGGCTAGTGGGACATAACTAGCTATCACATTTCCCACTGAATGATGTCTACTTTTAGAGATCCCTATGAGCATAGAGCTTGGTAGAAGTTATTATTGCTGAAATAAAATTGGGGGCTGGGGTTGTGGCTCAGTGGTAGAGCACTTGCCTTGAATGTGTGAGGCACTGGGTTCAACTCTCAGCACCACATATAAATAAAACATAAAGGTCCATCAACAACTAAAATAAATACTTTTTTTTTTAAAAAAATTGGACTTCAAAAATATTAAGGGGACCAGATAGCAAACCTTGTATTACAGACTCAACATAGTGTTTACACTGTGTAGGAGGCACCCTTAACTATATAGTCATAACTTCCTGTGGATAATGTGCAACATTATGTTGAATGTGCATAAAATATTCTATAAATGCACTTAATTTGAAGAATTAAGTAAATTTGGTGCAAAGCATGATGTTGGGCATATGGGGGGGTGTCAGTAAACTTGTTTTAGAACATGTTTCCCATCACACAGATTTGGAACCCCCCACAATAGGGATTAAACTAAGGGGTGCTCTATTACTGAGCTACATCTGCAGTCCTTTATTTGTTTATTTATTTATTGGTACTAGGGAATGAATCCAGGTCACTTAACCACTGACCCACATCCTCAGCCCATTTTAATATTTTATTTAGAGATGGGGTCTTGCTGAGTTACTTAGGGCTTCTCTAAATTGCTGGGGCTGGGTATGAACTGGAGATGCTCTTTAGCCTCCAGAACCACTGGGATTACAGGCATTTGCCACTGCAGCCAGCCTATTTTTATTTTTTGTTTTGAGATAGGGTCTTTTAAAGTTGCGGAGGCAGGCTGGCCTCAAACTTAGGATCCTCTTGCCTCATCCTCCTGTGTAGCTGGGATTACAGGTGTGCATAGATTTTGGGGTGTTTTATAGACACAGATAAGTACAAAATCTCTGTTAAGTTAGTATATCATTCAGTACAATCAATCCACTTGGGAACTGGGATGGCAGGGGCCAGAAACTAAGAATTTGACAAGTGATTTTTATTGCAGTTTTCTTTTTAGGTACTGGGGATTAAACCCAGAGGCATTCACACCATGGGTCTACATCAGTATCCCTTTTTATTTTTTAAGACAGGGACTTACTAAGTTGCCCAAGGTAGGCTCAAACTTGTGATCCTCCTACCTCAGCCTCCAGAGTAGCTGGGATTATAGCTCTGTGACACCACAGAGCTAGAACACTTGCCTAGCATGCACAAGGTAATCTAGCCAGACCAGTATTCTTGAGCCAGTTATTTGAAGGGAACAATCTAGTTATAATGAGAGTCTGGACGATTACATTGAGGTAGGCAGAAGGAACAAGTTTGTCTCAATTCTGTTTCTGTATGAACCCAGACATCTATACATAGCTTTTGTAGTTACACAAGAGAAAGTCGTGCAGTTAAGGCCCCTTGAACTTTTAAAACAAAGAAGGCACACCTCCCAGAACAACAAAACTGAATTCAATGTAGTATTGGGAACCCTAGCTGATACATACCTATGCTGGGCTCAGTTTGCCACCTCAAAGCTACCCAGCAACCTCAGATACTATAGCCACAATTATGGGTTCTTCAAAGTGGGCTTGTCCTGGGGGGTCAGAAAGACCAAAAGACAGCCGTCCTTCAGGAACCAGGTCACTCTGCTTCAGTACAACAGTTAGAGCTCTGAAGACTCCACCACAGCTCCTCAGCCCTTTGGACAGCTCTGTCCAGACAAGAATCTCAGAAATGACTGTCAACACTTTTTGGAGGCCACTCAGTTAACAGATGGAGTCTAGGAGCCAGCAGCCACCTTCAGGTCACTAAGATATTACAAGTGGGAGCACCTTTCAACCCTGTGGGACTGCAATATCAGGAGAAAGACTAGGGAGTGTGGCTGGGCCGGGTGACTACAATCAAGATCCAGAGAAATGTTTCTTTGCACCGGAGAATTAACTAGAATTCTTTCATCCTGGGATCTGGTGGCAGGAATTACCTAGAGAGCTTTAGGGATACTGGGGTTAGCTTGCTGAGGTCTGATGAGCGCCTCTTTCCAGTACTGTTTTGGAGGCTCAGTACCAGCAGCCCCTCGGGGTTAGACTGACAATTCGCCAGTTCCAGAGCATCTGCGACAGTGCTGATCTCAGACCTGCAGGTTTTTTCTATTTACTGTCAGATGGACCCGCCTCGGTTCCACCGTAGCATGTGCTGTTGCGGTCGGTGAAAACAGTTCTCCCACGGTAGCAGAGACAAGTGCAAAGTGGACTGGGGAACGCGGCCCTGGATCCACGTGGGTGGTCTCGCGACCTTGCTCCGGTCTCGGGGCTGCTGCCAGCCGGAGCTGAGCGCGGCAGTAGCACGGATCAACCCCCCCGCGCGCGCGAGCCCCCAAGCGCGCTTCTCCGCGTGCGCGCGCCGTCCCGTCTGCGGCTGGAGCGCGCTCTCGGTGCGAGCCGGAGTCGTCCCATCTGATTCACGCAGAGCGCGGTTCCCTGCAGCAGAGACTCCGGTCGGTGCACTGTGGCGGTTTTGCCCGAAGAGAACGATTTGAAATCGTTTTTTTTTCCTTCTTTCCCAGCTCCTCTGTTGTGCGTATTTTCTTTGCTATTTGCAGAGCAGTTAGTTCTCTGTTGCACTCTGCTTGCTTTCCCCGTGTTTCTTTTTCGTTCAGTACAGAATGTTTTTTGGGAAACATTTCCTCAACTGATATACTTTAGGGTGTAGTCGGCCCATAAATAAAGCAATCACGGCATTCGGTGGAGTCAGCTGGCTACCCCGGGGGAAAGAGGAAAAGCTTGATTTTTCCTTCTTGTTCCAATGAAGCTGGAACTCAGAGCTCTTGCCAGGCCCCTGGGAGTTCGGAGGGAAATTCCAGTCCGAAAGCCTAAGAAAGCATTTCAAGACAAGGCACAGGTCCTTCAGCAGCCAGAGGAAAGGAAGAAGGGCATGATTGCCATCAGACTAGTAACCACAGGCCACTGGAAATCACTTCCCTCTAGAACTTGACTTTTAGGGTTAATTCAATGTAGTCTTGCGGTAAAATTAACAAGTTTGTGACTTTTTTTTTTTAATGAAAAAGAGCTTTATGGGCTGGGGACATAGCTCAATGGTAGAACACTTGCTAGCATGCTCAAGGCCTTGGCTTCAAACTCCAACACCCACCCTCCCCACACCCCACCCCAAAAGCTATATGTACTTATTTCTGTTTATGAAGACAAGACATGCTCATTATTAGGAAAAAAAAAAGAAGAAGAAGAAGAAGAAGAAGAAGAAGAAAGAAACATTGGCTTAACTTCTAATTGTTTTCTTCAATTTGTTTCCTTGCATAACTTTCTTTTGCTGGGAAAATAAATAAAAATATTTTGACAGTATCTATAATGAATGCAACACCATAATGCCCTGTAACTGGAAATGTCACAAATCTTGGAAAAGTCTCTGTTAAGATAATTTGACCAATGGACACTCAGTGTGATTAACTCGTTTCAGATTGTTCAAATTTGAAGTTATTATGTTTGCTTAAAAATTACCAGAAAATGTTAAGCTTGAAATTGATAGATTATGAATTTTCTGGCTGTTCTAGGCTAATAGAATAAAGTCCCCAAACAACAGATGTAATAAATAATCTATATTGAAATGTCTGTTTGCTTTTTGTTTTGAACTGTAAGAAAGATAAATGTGTGATATATGCATTGGCTTATTTTATGTGCATTTAATAAACACAATAGGAGAAACAGAGATTTAAAACACCAAATCCATCAATGAAGTTGAATTACATGTATTATTGTAGTAGCAGAATAATAACCAGATGATAAATAGGCAACTTTCTACTTACCAATAGGTGTAAGTCCATGCTTTAGAGATTCTGGTAAATCCCCAGGATCCAAATTAGAAGACATTTTTAGTGAAATTATAGGCAGTCCTTTGGCTTAAGGCAGAAATCATCGAGCCCAAGAAAAAGTGCAGTTTGTCATATTTTGTGACCTTGGGAAGGACACATCAGACTACAGTAGTCCTTATTCCCTTAGTGAAAGTTAAGAAAAAAGGAAAAAAAAATCCAGAATTCAGAAAGTTACAAGCAGGTCTTTCCCTGGACTCTGTACTTTTTCCAACATTAGTGACCCGCTGTAAACCATGTATCCAGTTTCATGATGGTTTCTAATCAGAAGAATGGAAACTTTCGATAGGCTTTGACTGATCACATGACTCCATGCAGGTTGATAAGAGGACCCTGTTATAAAGTGACAGCAAAAGAGATAAGAACTCTTGGCAGATAATGGCAAAGAAATGATTAACTCAGAAGAGGAGGGGTGATATGCTGCACAGAGAGTGGAAAGTTGTAAAACTGAAGGGTCAGAAGATCATACTTAGTGGATAAAACTCCAAACCAGCTTAAATCCACTAACTAAGCTTAGGCTTGTGACATACCCTCTTGATGTCATCGCTTCTTTGCAGAGCTCTTCTGACCTCTGTAAATACATTTTAGGTGATAACATTGGTAGACATTAATTCTTTAAGTGATGACTGCAAATATGATCGACACTTTGAAACACTACAGGTAGCATTTTTAAGCTTATGGTCATTTATTTATTCATGTCTTGTTAACTTTTTAAAAAAAGTCATTCTTACTCATTAGATGGGGAGTTAATCTTAGCATGTTTGTAGCTAGATCATTTGGTTAAAAGGGCAATCTATATTTTTTTAACCCCATTATAAAGTAAAGCTTATACTTTGAGAGAAATGCTGGCAAAATGAAGACTTTGCAGGACATTTTCTTTTCCTTTTTTTTTTCTTTTTCTTTTTTCCAGTACCAGGGATTGAACCCAGGGGCACTACACCACTGAGATACATCTCAAGATAAGGTCTCACTATGTTGCCCAGGCTCGCCTTGTACTGCTACCCTCCTGCCTCAGCGTCCTAGTCCTAAGTAGCTGGGATTACAGGTGTGCACCACCATGCCCAGCCAAAATCTGGATTATTAGAGCAATGCACATTGTGGGCCAGTTTGTTATTTTTCTTGTTTGTTTTGAGTTTGTCCCTCTCCCCTCTGCTTCATGGCCAGAGATTCTATTTGGAAAAACCAAAATGTTTCTGTAGTTTTTTTTTCCCCGTTTAAAATTGTATTCTTTTAAGTATTAGATTTGACTGCGAATAATAGAAAAACCAGAGCAATTATGTTCTAAACAAGAATGCTTATTTCTCTTTTACAAAGGAGGTGCAGAGACAGGCATGGTGTGGAGGGGCATGCCTCTAATCCCAGTGATTTGGTTGGCTGAGGCAGGAGGATGGTAAATTCAAGACCAGCCTCAGCAATTTAAACTAGACCCTGTCTCAAAATAACAAGGGCTGGGGATATAGGTCAGGGTAAAGTGCCCCTGGGTTCAATTCCCAGAACCAAAACAAACAAACTAAAAACCAAAACCCCAAACAACAACAACAACAACAACAACAAATCAGAGGTAGGCAATTTAGCCATGGAAAATGATTCTACAAAGTTGTCTGGGACCTGAGTTCCTTCCATTTTAGTAGTCTTTCTTTTCACTATTAGGAAACAGGAGGAGGAGGAGAGGAGGTCTGCTCTTTTTTAGGCCCACTTTCTCAAAGCAACATGTAAACACTTTGCTTACAGAAGACTAGGCAGAACTTAGAACCACACCTACATTTAGATGCAAAGGAGGGTCCAAAGGGAAGTATTTTAGTTGAGTAGTTAAACATGTATTCCAATAAAAAAAGATTGTGTAATTACAGTAATTCTGGTTGGTTCTTTGCTACTATGTCTTTGAACAATCAAAAAATAACATGACACATTACTAGAAATTTACCCATATACATGATACAGGACATATAACTCTGAGAAATAATTGTTCTCTTAAAAATTACTCAGGACTCAAAAAAGTTTTTGTTTATGTGAATTATATCTATTCATATTTACTGTGTTAGAAGTTAAATTTGAAGATGCTAGGGGCGTTATTCAGTGGTAGAGCACATGCTTAGCATGTACAATGCCTGGGATTTAATCCCCTGTACCCCAAAAGGGAGAGAGAGACAGAGACAGAGAGAGGGAGAGAAGAAAACAGACAAAAAGAAAAATAGAAAAGAACTTAAAATTGAGAAACTTTAAAATATTTATTGCTTATAAATTTTTTATTTTACTTATAGAAAACAATAGCTGGGTGTGGTAGTGCATGTCTGTAATTCCAGAGGTCTGGGAGGCTGAGGCAGGAGGATTGTGAGTTCAAAGCCAGCCTCAGCAACTTATGGAGGCCCTAAGCAACTCAGTGAGATCCTATATCAAAATAAAAAATAAAAATCAGGCTGAGGATATGACTCAGTGGTTAAGTGTCCCTGGGTTCAACCCCTGGTAGAAAGAAAGGAAGGAAGGAAGAAAACAAGAGCAAACCTATTATATATTAGTACAAATAGCATATGAAGTTCAAAAGGGAGGAGTATTATAATAGCTTTTCCTGATAATCAGGGATTTTTTTATACCAAAATTCCCCAAGTTGTATCATTTTAAAGATTATTTGAAATATGGTCTCTGAAACCATATCAGTGAACTTTATTACATTAAAATTCATTGGTCTATTTTGTGCTCCAAATCCATCTTTTACATGTGCATGGTTTTGTAACATCATACATTAATAATTTGGAAGATAGAAGTTCCTTGAGTTTTGCAGATTTTTCCAAATGTTGATGCATTTCATCATACAAAATTAAGAAATTCACCAGGCACAGGGGCACAGGCCTGTAATTCCAGAGATTTGGGAGGCTGAGGCAAGAGGATCTCAAGTTCAAAGCTGACCTCAGCAGCTTAATGAGGCCCTAAGCAACTTAGCAAGACCCTGTTTCAAAATAAAAAATAAAAGGACTGGGGATGTGGCTCAGTGGGAAAAATGCCCCGGAGTTCAACCCCCAGTGCCAAAATAAATAAATAAATAAAAATAAACAAATATTTAAAAAAATAAAAAATCATATTTACTAATATCACCACTGATCTCATCAGAGTCCCAAACACTGGGAAGATCTCAAAATCATAGTGGCAGATACAAGTTTTCCAAGATCCAAAAGCTCAAATTTTATCATCCAAAAGCACTGTCAGAGCCGGCCTATTATCCCAAACTACTGAGAAGACTGAGGCAACAGGATCTCAAGTTCAAGGCCAGCCTGGGCAACTTAGTGAATACCTGTATATAAAATCTGTATCCAAATAAATAAATAAATAAAAGAAAAGAAAGGAAGGAAGGAAGGAAGGAAGGAAGGAAGGAAGGAAGGAAGGAAGGAAGGGGGATGTAGCTCAGTGATAGAGGGCCCCTGAGTTTAGTGTCCAGTAAAACACACACACACAGTGCCATTAATTTTTTCCTTAAAGTAATAGGTTCATGTCACTTACGTTTTAGAAAATGTCTCCAAGTACCCATATTTGAGTGACCACACTTTATGAGTCTTTTATCCCTCCCTCCCTCCCTCCCTCCCTCCCTCCCTTCCTTCCTTCCTTCCTTTGCAGTACAAGGGATTGAACTCAGGGCTTCCTACATGCTAGGCATGTATTCTACTCCTGAGCTACATCCCAGCCCTGATCATCCATTCTCTTTCTCTCTCTCTCTCTCTCTCTCTCTCTCTCTCTCTCTTTTTGCATCCAGGGGTGCTTAACTACTGAAACACACCCCCAATCTTCTTTTGTATTTTATTTAGAGACAGGGTCTCTGAGTTGCTTAGTGCCTCTTTTTTTTTTTTTTTCTTTTTTCTTTTTTTTGCTGAGACTGGCTTTGAACTCGCGATCCTCCTACCTCAGCCTCCTGAGCCACTGGGATTACAGAGGTAAGCGACTGCGCCCAGCTTGGTCAGTCACTCTTAAAATGTTCAAATGCTATTGCATGAAAACAGCAGTGAGATCTGCTCACAGCTCAAACAACTGTGTCAGTGATTTTCTTAGAGGCAGCCATCATGCTTGGCTGTAATCATTCAATGATACTGAAGAGCTTTGAAGGACAATGGAAGGCAATGTAACTAGGGAAAAATTTAATTCTTATGGTTTAGCTTGATGAGAGTGTGTTTTGCTTTATAAAATAACTGTTCTTGAAGCGTAGTGTATTAATTTTGGAAAACCACATCTCTATTTTGAATGCACTTGCTGATGTTCTAGTTAGAGAACATGACATTTAGGATTTTTATAATACATAATTGGTCTGTGTTTAAAATAAACTCTCATCTATATTTTTTGAAATTGGGGTAAGAAATCAGAATCGGATTAAATGGATTGCATCATCTTTGTTAAAGATTGTGAGTCATTTTTTCCTCCTAGGATGTTGAAAGGAGGCATATTGAGATTTCTTTGTTTACGGAAACTTTACCCAGTCTTATTAGGGTCAGTGTCCTGCCATGCTACTCATGCTCAGAAGAGATTTGCAGAACATGGGTAGCTGGATTCTTACCACCGAAACCCACCGTTTTGGCCACTATTATGGCTTTTCACCTCTTTGCAATAAATGTCAAGATTAAAAATGCACCTGACCATACCTAAGAGATGCCTTCTTTGTTGCTTGTAAGACTAATTCCTGGATAAACAGTTTTATTTATTTACTTTAGGACAAAATGTTAGCAAACTTCAGAATTTTCCTTTGACTTTTGAATCTGTTGATAGAAGGACTTGGGGCTTGTCGGGGGCAATACTAAAACAAATGTACCCCTACCCCAGGACCCAAAGCTGAATGAACAGGAAAGTAGCTGTCTATCCCCTTAAGGAACACATTATAATGCAATTACCTTAGTTTAAATTGCAATGTTAGTGAGCTTAAAGTTTTAATTCCTATGCAGGAAAAAGTTTTTCAAAGGAAAAAAACTATAGTACTTGTAAGATCAGAGAGACACCTACTAGCTCTGGCCAGGACCCCTGAAATTATGCCTTAATTAGGAAGGGATCAGTGTGTGATACTTATTGTGCAGTTAATAAAGAGGGAAGGGACTTTTCCTAAAATTTCATATAGATAAGGATACTGGATAAATTAGAACATACATTTATACTATTACATCTACCGATGTTAAATTTAAATTTTTTTTTTTTTTTTTGGTACTGGGGATTGAACCCGGGATGCTTTATCACGGAGCCACATTTTCAGCCCTTTTTACTTTTTATTTTGAGACAGAGTCTCACTAAGTTGCTTA